TTTTTTTTTTGGCACTTCTGACAGCCTTGGCTGTCACCTGTCTGGTCACGATCTGCTATCGAGATGCTGGCCCCTTCTGAACCTCGCTCGAATGGCACACAGCAATGGCAAAAGTCGCAGCTCCATCTGTGGCATGAGATAGCTTCGCTGAGGTCACCTCGCTTTCATTGAGTCTATCGGCGATAGTCGTCCATTGACCTCGCGCATCGTCCAACGCCATGAATAGGCCCTTTCCTCAGGCCTGGATTCAATAAAGCCACGGCGGGCGAAGGAACCCTATAACCCCCGCCCAGGCACGCTGCACCTCGAGTGTAAGCGAGGGAAGCCCACGGCCGAGCGGTCAATCCGACGTCGGCACCGGCGCTGGAGGCGAGTTCGCCCCAGGGCCAACGTGATCCTGCCCACTCCCACCCAATGATCCTGGGTAGTGGGAGTGGGTGGGTCTTGCGGAAGACGCGAGGCCGATATGCAGGATTTTGGATCCGCCTTGCGCTTCATGCATTCGCCGCCAGGTTTGATGCACCAAAAAAAGCACTGCGCTGCTGCAGGGCAGTCTGCCCACGCCGCTTTCAGCGGAGTTGCAAGCGGCTCGGCCTTCCGCGCAACTGTCTCTGCACGCGTCCAGCCGGCCTGGGAATTTTTGGCGCTCGCTGCAGTTTGGCCGCTGCAATGCCCGCTCTGATCCGCTTCGCTCTTTTTCCCTAACTTTTCCCCTCTCTGTACTCGTTTCCGTTAGGCTACCACAATTTGGCCCCGAGCTGGCGAGGCTTGCGGCCTCGTGGCTTTGCTGCAACGATTCGCTTGTGCAGGGCAGTGCAGCGCAGTCCACCAGCGGCGTCGAGAAATTTCGAACCTTTGAACCTTGTTCTGTCGCCGACGGTGGCGCTCTGCCATGGCGATCTGCTGGCCTCCGCCCTCCTCCGCCCTCTGCTCAGCTAGCGTGCAGCAAGCTGCCTAAACTAGCACCTGCCTCGGTCGAGCTGCAGTAATTTGGTGTGGGTGATGGCCTGCAGTTTTCGATGCAAACCATCCGTCCGGTGGTGCATCTGGATCCACCTCGACCAACCCACCCAGCCTTTTGCCATTGCAGCGAGAGCTCCCATCGATGAAGCACACCCACATCTTCCGGTCCTCCTCTCGTTCGTGTCCGGCGTCTCTCTTCCCCGCCTCCAACCTTGCTATCGCGTCCATCATGCCGAGCTGCCGCGCTTGCCCTGGTGCCTAGCTTCAGCTCCGACGGCTGCCTTGTGCCTTTGTCCTGCCCTTGAGCTCGACTTGCATCCTTCCTCAGCAGCTCGCCCCTGTGGCACACATGGGCTCGCTGCAACCTCGCAATGTCCGCGCCAATGAATTGGCTGCCCTGTCAGACTGTGCTCGCTTCTGCGCTCTGCGTCTTTGTGGCTGCTGTCAAACTCGATCCGAGCTGGTCTGCCCCTTCATGCCCCAGCACGCTTGCCCTTCTCTGCCTCCAATCCGCCGCTGCCAGGCCTGCCTATGCTGCTTCACCGAGCGACCGGCTATCGAGCCTCATGCACACACTCTCGTCGTGCGCCTACCACCGTCACTAGCCGACACTGACTCAGTTTCTCAGTCCGCCTCAAGCACCTCGGACCTGTCTCCGCCATACCTCCTCCTCCCATCTCCCAGTCCGCGCGTTTTACTTATAAGCTCCCCCCTCGGATCGCTCGGTGATGGTCTGCATCCCCCATCATTCCCATCGTTGACATTCCCACTCTGCCTCTACCTTCCTTACCCCTCTTTCCCCCCCTGCTAGCTTGCAAGCCTCTACTCCCATCATATCTCTTTGGACGCACCGTTCGCAATCGTCGCCGTGCTTGTATCTGCCTACGCCCTCCTCGGTCATTGTCTGTCTCCCTCGTCGTTTGCCGCCGCCCAGTCTGTCTAGTGCAACATCGTCCTCTGCGTCTGCATCCCGCATCCAGCTGCCCCCTCCTGCCAGCTCCGCAATCTATCGTCTTGCACGCTTGCAACCGCCCATCCAAGCACCCATCTCGTCATCATGTTGACCCCCATCAGCACCAACACCTCGTCGCCCGTCCGACCTAGCCTCGAGAGCCCCACGCACAAGCTTTGCCGCTCTGCAGAGAGCAAGAAGCTGGACGTTGAGCTCGCTGCCAAGGCCAAGTCCTTGAAGGATGGCGCCAAGGCAAGGAAGGAGTCCAAGGGTCCTATCCTGAAGCGAAAGATGGCTTGCGCCACCTGCCGTCGTCGCAAGGTAAGTTGCCGGCTCGGTAGATCCTTTCGATGTTGCTCTTGGCCCAGGTGTCTGACTTGCCCTGCTTGTTCAATTTTTTTTTTGACGCGTCGTTATCCATCGCCAGCTTCGTTGCGACGCTGCCCGACCTCGCTGCTCGACGTGCGCACGATCGCAGGCGTCGGCCGAGGCTGCTGGTCACCCTTCGGCCGTGCCTTGTGGTCCTTGCGTCTACGACTGCGACCAGAACGATGAGCCGGTGCCCAACCGCTTCTTCGCCAACGGCTCGTTCCACTCGCTCACCTTCCACAGCCACCCTCGCATGCCCTTGACGCCCGGCTTTGGGGTTCCCGCCGCCTACGATGCCATCACCGGTGCTCCGATGATGGACAGCCTCAACTACCTGCCACCCACCAGCCCCCACGGCGTGTGGGCCTGGGGCGACTTCCCCATGACCCCCTCGCGTGTCTCGGGCCCGGCGTGCAACTCGACCTCGTGTCACACCACGCCCATGGTCACCACGCCCACTCGCCCCATGCTGCTCACCTCCACACCGATGCGCAGGATCATCAGCCCTAGCCTGGCCATCAACTCGACGCCAGTGCAGGAGCACGATGTCTTCTACTCGCCACCATCGCACGAGCAGTGGACGCCATCTTCGGCGATGAGCACCGAGTCGGTCTACTACAGCCCCATGGTCTCGTCGTTGTCCGAAGGCCTTCCAGTTTCGGCTTCGGGTATCTCGTCGGCAGCCTCGACGCCGTTGCTCACGTCGACGCGCTCCATCCGCTCGCCGTTCCCCATGAGCCAGGACCTCGGCACACCGATGAGCATGCCTCCCACCACGCCCATCTCGGACACGTTCGACGTCAACTGCCTCGGCCCCCCCATGGTTCCTCGCACCTCGCTCTCGCCACACGAGCAGCAGATGAAGTGCGCCAACTTCCTGCAGTCGCTCGAGCCCATGCCGTACAACCTGATCGACTTCTCCGCTCCTGGTGTTATGGGTGCGGATGGCCTCAGCGTCGTCTCGACACCCATGATGGCTTCCAACTCGCTCGAGATCATGGCTGGCAACGACCTGGGTCTGATCAACGGACCCTGCATGGATGGCAAGCTCCAGGATCCCTTTGGCAACATGGCCGGTCTCGAGATGCCCGACCCCTCGCTGCTCGCCAGCGCCGGTGCCGCCGAGATGGGCAGCATGGCTTCCCTGACGCTCACCTCGGCCATGCCTTCGGACATGTTCGCAAGCGCCTCCACCAACCCCGCGGCACCAGAATGGGTCGCCTGAGCACCACAACCTCTTTTTCTTTTGGCTCCTCTCTCGCAGTCGTTCCCACGCATCCTCCCAGTCATTGTCGTCTGCTTCCTAGCTTTGTAGCATCGCTTCCTTCCTGCTTTCTCTCCACTCTCTCCTGCTCCGAGTTGGCTGGCCGGCCCTTTGTATCGGGCCTTTGGCACACCACTCTTTCCCCACACTGTCGTTTCCGCAGCCACATCCCCACACGGCGTCATTCGCCTTACCACGCTCGTTTCCCCGTCACGGACCGCTTGTATTTTTTAGTCACGCTCGTCGCTCGTCGCTCCCGACCGTCCTTGGTGGAGTCTGTCTTGTATTTCTACATCTGCCTTCAAAACCGACAAGATCCTTGTCAATATACCCACTTGATCCTCTTTTCCCTCTCGTCGTGTGTGCACTGCTTGTCTGGAGTGATTATGGCCATTGTTCGCTCGACAGCTTCGCCCGACCTATTGCGATTGCACGCGGAAGGCGAGCCAAAAGCCCGGCTTGACGATGTTACGTTTGGACCAAGAAATCCGCTTGTCGGGCGCGGGCGTGACGCGCGAGGAGGATGCTCCGAAGCGGGGGCGCGGACTTGGGCGACTGCAGTGCACAAATTGCCCATGTGCACGTGCGGTGTTGCTGCATTCAATCGATGTGCCTGTGCAGGCGCGGGAAGGTCACTTTGTGGCGCTCATTCGGCAGTCTTGCGAAGAAGTCTGGAGAGATCGGAACTCGGTTGGTCGTGTGATTCAGCGACAACCACAAGACTCAGCTGGCGGTGTGTCGGGTTCGGAAGATGCATGCCGGGCCTGGGCTCGCTAAGGCATGGCCAGTCACCCAGCGAATTTTCCATCGCGAGGCGTCGGGTCAGTCACGATTTTTAGAGCTCAGGGGGGGGGGGGGGGGG